TAAACAGCATCTCTGGAGGGTACTCACTGCCGCCCTCGACAGCCCGGCACAGCTGCACGCACATGCAGTGGACGATGCAGGCGGTGGAGGAGCTGTCGACGCCGCCGCTCAGAGGCAGCAGGAAACCAGCCTGAACACAAACGAGCAGACAGCTCAGAGGCCCAAACCACACACTTCTCAATGTAGCCAAAGATGACCTCACACCTGTCCTCCTCACCTGGCCACTCCTCCTCAGGTAGTCCCACAGCCAGCAGGCCGGCCCTAAACTGAAGCACGCGGCAGCAAACAGCTGTAAGAGAGGCTCTCTGGGAGCTTTACAGAAGCTTCATTTAAACGTACCTGATCTCTTCCTCTGGTGTGTGAAAGTGCCATTCTATTGGCTGGTGGGTGGGCAGGTAGACGTCGTCACAGCCGGACAAAGAAAAGTCCACTTTGACCCTGTGACAAGGTTTGAAGTCACTTTCCTTCCACAGGGAGAAACACGAGAGATGAACACCGTCAGCACCTGACATTCATCCAGCACCGCCACTCGCAGGTGACCTCTGCATGACCTTTAACACAAGCTCTGCTGTGGGGGGGGCGACCTGTCATAGGTCGTCTGCCTGTATTATTGGTCTTGGCCTCACAGTATAAAGCATCAGCCTGTTAGCAGGTTAATGCGCTGATTGGTTTGGATTGAAGGTCGACCACGAGGCTGAAGGCTCGTGGTCGAGTGTTCGTGGCTCTGTGACTCTGAAACACCTACAAGGACTCGAACACTATCAAGGTTTTACATTTTTAAATCAAGCAAATCTTATTGCTTCCCATCCTCAGAGCTCTGCAGCGCTCACTGAGGATGGGTCAAAGGTCAAAGCAGCTGCGGGAGGAGCTGAGAACCTGTGATGATGTGGAGGTCAGGCTGGTCACAGGTCATCACAGAAACTGAGCTGATAACAGAGAAAAACACAAACGCAGCTTCGTGCTGTTCACAGGTTGGACAGCAGGGGGCGCTCTCTCACCAGCTGAGGCTGACACAGCTCTCCTCTGTAGCTGCGAACGTCCTCCAGGTCCAGAGTGGCCGTAATCACCTCCTACCACACACAGAGACACACACACA